ACTATGTGAAAAAATATATTCAAAAAATTAAAGTATATACAAAAATTATAATAGAGACAGCCAGAACATTGATATATGATATAGTCCTCGCAGACAAGAGATATATATACGATAAAAAAATATATACTAGAAATAAAAATATATACAAGAAATAAACATAAATACAATAAATAAGAATATATACAAGAAAAGAAAGAAAATGAAAAAATTTATACAAGAAAAATTGGGTCGACCAGCGACAAAATCTATTAAATCTTAGACAAATTCTCCTTATCTGTGAGAATAACATCATATATCGATGTTCTGGCTGCCTCTAACGCACTAGGCGCAAATCGATCCATATAAGGGCCCGCCACAACACCAATAGTTCCTCTCGGTTGCATCGTAAGCACTCCTTCCAATTCGTTGACAACCGCGCGATCTATGATTAAATAACGTTGATTTGATTAATTAAAATCTTTTTTTTTTTTAATAAAATTAATACAATACCTACGCGACTTTTTTCCCAATTTTTACATTGGATTATAACGTACATCAATCTCCTTATCACCTGGCCCACTAAAAATTGATAAAATAAAAAATGAGTTGTGTCATCATCATCAAGAAATGTTCACAATAAAACTGCGGCCACGATGAGCTTTCAATTCTCTAGTTCGTGTATCCTATTCATCGTTAATCCCCAGGGCACAGGCCAATACGGGACTCAGAAACTAGGAAGAACATTCATGGGCCACGATGCGCTTTCAATTCCCAGGAATTTTTACACTAAATTCGACAAACTCAGTGAGACACTCACCCTGTCCACTCACATTCGATGCCTACACTCTCCAAACCCTCTACGCAATCTTTTTCTAATTGTTTTCTTTCGCTGTAGGAGACAAAATGATGATGGTTTATTTTATGATTAATTTTATGATTAAAAAAAAAATTCAATGATCCAAAAAGATCTCGATACTAAGACCAGACCGCGGTTCATTTATTCTGGACCAGACCATTAACATCAGGAAGTTTTGAACCTGCCTGGTTACAGACAAAAATGTGCACGATGTAAATATTATAATTATATAAGTTATATGAATCAAATGGAAGATATAAAAGGCGTTTAAGAAGATACCAGCTCAGGTTTTACAATATTTTCTTAATAATAGTAATAACAATAGCAATGAATCATCCTCATTATCATCACCATTACCACCGTCAACAACAACAATAACAACAAATTCAAGGGTAATTCATCAACCCGTTAAGAATTTCCTAGACCGAGTTTCAGAATTTGTTTGCAAAATCAATTTATCAATGTTTATAAATTACAAAATCCAAAAAAAAATAACAAAATACTGAAAATGATGATAACAATTAAGATAAAATGCTGGTTATAATGAGGACGAGGAAGATAATTTTAGTACTGATTAAAATGAAGAAGATGATAAAGAAGAGGGAGAGGGATGAAGAGAGGAAGAAGAAGATGGCGATAGTTGAACATCTGATTAAAGAAGCTTGTCTATAACATAACAATGCTATCTTTTTTACGATTTTTTTTGATTTTTTAAAATTTGTACTAGCAGGTATCTAAAACTTATAGCAAAAATTACGTTTGAAATATGAAGGTTGATAAAACATTTTTAAAATATGGCTTTGTTGTGTTGTAGAGACATGTTCTACGAGTTCAAACCATTAAAAAGTCTCATCTGCATGATGATTTATGACAATTTATGGAAAAGGCGATTTCTTTAATATTAATTATATCGGACACTTTGACGGGTGAACGACACCACAAAGTTCAAAAATGGCAAGTAAACATCACTATTAATCATACGTAGCTCATGGTATTTCGTTTTTTCCGAAGCAACAAAGGCTAATACTAAGTACCAAAATATTCAACATCGCCAGGGATTATAAAACCCTAATCAACTTTGATAGTGTCAAGTGATGTCTTCAAGATTTTGTTTTGTTTCCTCAAATGGAATAATAATAAACGAACATCTTTTTAATTTATTTTTAGCTTGCATATATGACTGTTTATAAAAATCTGTCTTATTATTATAGTCGCATTTTGTTATCAAATTATGTATTATGTATCGATAATAATAACAGCCAAGCGTCATCTTAGTCAAAAGTGATTTTCCGGTGATCATTATCGGATTTCACTACTGTTGATTTTCTATTGTCTCTGCTCTGGTGACGGGTATTAATACTGTTTTGTATGGTACTATGTAAAAATTTCCATTTACCATTATCAGTAACAAATTTGTTGGATTCACTTGAATTGCTTTCTTGACAGCAATTTTTACTTTCTGATTTTAATTTTAGTTGTAATGGTAGCGGATGATTCCATTTCATATCTGAATTGGAAACCTCGTTTATTTCTATGGTTATAATTAGATTTGTCAGATTTGCGACGTTTTCATCTTACACCCTGTTAGATTTATAATATTACTAGTATTATCGTTATTCGCTTATTTTATAGGTGGATGTCATATTTTATGATCTCTGCTTTTTACTTTCCTTTAGGATGTTTATTTTTTATAATTAATAACTATATAAATTAATTATTCAATATAATCATTATCATTTGCATTATGGAGTTAGGGAGGCTACATTATTTTTAGCAATTCTGGGTTCTGGATAAATTAAATTTAATTCATTATTTTTCTTAACGTTGTAATGCAGTAGATCTACTCTATGAGCAATGGGCTTTACAGTGATTTAAGGTTAGTAATAGTAGTAGCAGATCAACAAAATCTGATCGAAATATTTTTAAATTCATGTAATTATTAATTATTAATATTATTATAGTAGTAGTAGTAGTAGTAGTTTTGGTTTTAGTTTTAATAAGCCTTTTTAGATTATTAACTAATCCTCCCAAAGAACCATCGGATTAGCTTTAGTAATAGCAAAATAATTATCTTGGTAATTACAATTAAAAAATTTTTTAATAATTAATTGACTGATCATATATTGTTATATGATGTCACAATAAATTATAATTATTGCACCGAACGCATCATATTCAATTTTTAATAATGTAAATTCAAAAAAAAAATTTATACATGTAAATTAATAAATAATAGAAGATAAATGCCGATTATTATCATTTTTTATTTTTTCTTCCTTCTCTTTCTAATTTTTCTTTTAATTCTGTAGCTTTGGCTTAAAAAAAAAAGGTGAACGGAAGCAATAATTATAACATTAATAATTAGTAATATTACTACAACGCATATCTAAATAATATTAACTCAAACACATGTATATACTTATATGTATATATTTACCATCAGCCTCGGCTTTTCTTTTCATTGCTGCTTCTTCTCTCTCTTTTTTAATTATTGCTAACCGTGCTAAATCAGTTTTGGCCTGTTCTGTTTTACCTTCTTTATGCAACTTCCAATATCTTTGCCTCGCTGCTTCTTTTTCTGCTGCCTCTCTATATTTAATAATAACATATTAAATTTATTAAATTTAATAAAATAAATATATATATATATATAAAAATTATGAATTATCATCATTTATCATCTACCTTTCTCTACGAGACATCTCAGGTGTTATATTTGACATATCTGATGCTTTTAAATTATCTTTCCTCAATGTTCTATTTGGATTATCTATCTCTATAAGATTTGTTGCCGATTTATTCTATATTGGAAACAACAATGATTGATTTATTGGGTTGATTGATTAATTGATCACATAGGTCAACTAACTAACTAGCTAACTTACTTTACTTTCAAAATCAACTAATTAATTAAATTAAATTAAAATATAATAAATACTAATGTTTCATCCTCATCTTCACTTCTAGATTCTTTCCTTTCCGCATTCGTCTTTTTGGTATTTCTAGCGGTTGTGTTGGTTCCCTCTTCACCTTCTTCTTCACCGTCACTCTTTTCCTTCTCTTCCTCGCTGCTCTCGTTCTCCTCTTTTTTATCACGTTGCTAATTTCATACATGTTTGTAAACCTTCAATATTGTACTAAAACTAACTGATCAGTTTTCGTATCAATGAAAATTTTTAACTTACATTCAACCTTCTTTCATCTTCAGCAAGAATTCGTGCATTAGTAAATCTATGGCCAGTACCACGACTTGGTTTATTAAATTTCCTACTGTTATTTTTTGGCGGTGACATTTTCTATTTTCCAATATTAATGTTATTGCTTTGTTTCTTATATTTTTATTTTTCAGATTTTTTTTTCCAAGTAAATGTACCTGCGTGATTAAAACTTTTTTTTTTATTGAATGTAGCACGATTTTAAAAAAGATGTTTCACAAATATATATAAATTTTTTTTCAAATTTTTCTCTTGGATTATTTGTCTTCAACAAAAAGAGAGAAGAAATGTCTCAATTAAAGCTTTCCTCTCCTACCGAATCTTTTTCAAGCAACAAAATAAATAATTTACAAAATGTTCAGGATTCTAGTGAAATCATTAATGGTGGCGGCGGCGATCACTTGGTAGATGAAATAAAAGCAACATGTGAATTACAATGGTCAAATTTGGTACATGCTGAAATTATATCTGTTACAAGTGCAATGAGAAAAAATTCTCGATGGTCTGGTATGAACGTAACTGGTTTAAATATGGGTGGATTGGGTATAAACATGGGTTTAAGAAGAGTTTACGTTGCTGAGATAGGTTATAGAAATCAAGTAAGAAAGATTTAAGATATCTTGTTAAGAGATTTTGTTGAAGATATTTTAATTAATTTGATTTTTATAGGAAAGTCCATTGCTGATTGGTTTTTCAAACCTTAGATCTCATTTATCAACTATTTCAGGTTTAATATTGTTATATTTTCCTTTCTTCTCAATTAACTAATTAATGATAATTAATTGATATATATTTATATTACATTTCATTTATAAAAATATAAAGGATTAAATGAGATTGATGCAGTGGTATTACTAGAGCCTTTTTTGGAAGTTATCAAATCTGGAGATACGAATGGTCCTATAACTGCAACAGCACTTGGAAGTGTGGAGAAATTTTTGACATATGGAATTTTAAATATGAATTCACCAAATCTGCCTCAAGCAATGTCGATGCTATCATCTGCTGCAACTCATTGTAAATTTGAAGGAAGTGATTCTGTATCAGATGAATTTGTGCTCTTGAAAATTTTACAGGTGCTAAGATTATCTTTAACTTCTGAAGTTGGTCGAGTCCTTAGCGACGAGGCTCTTTGTGTTATGATGGAGACTGGTTTAAGCATGTGTTGCCAAATGAGACTTAGTGGTATGTGCAAATTTAAAATAAATTCATTTTAAAATAATCTAGTTGCTTTAAATTTTATTTTTGCTAATAATGTTTTTTTAAATTTAGAAATGCTGCGTAGATCAGCAGAACATACAATGATTGTAATGGTTCAAAATATGTTTGAAAGGTGTTTATTTATTTATTTTGTTTATTTATTGAAATAATATTAATAAATTTCATATTTTACCTAATCTAGACTCAAATCTTTGGAGGAAAAACCATCGTCATTATTTTCTCGTGAAAATGGTGACGGTGAAAATGACTCTTCTCAAGATTTACAAGTTCGCATGGCACCACCAGATCCAAAATCACCTCATCTTCCTTTATCCATGGAAAACATCACTGATCCATTCAATAATATTAGCAATAATAACACAAATACTATTTCAATTTCTAATAATGATGATTTGGTAAAGTTAGATAGAAAAGGAGAAGAGGTGGTAGAAGATGACGAGGTGGAATGAAATTATGAAATTTTGACAACTCAAGAAGGGAGATTATCAACCGGTACTTATTTCTATTTCAAACTAGTATTCCTTAATGTTGTAATTAGCTAGATTTATATTCGTACCATCAATTAGATGTCGAATGTAATTTTTGTTGAATTACAAAATACAACACCAAACTAAACGATAAATAATACAAAACATGACTAATCTACAACAAAGTTACTGAACCTTCTAGCGAAGCTTTGAATGAAGAAGAAAAAGAATCAGGTATTTATTCATATTTCATATTATAATAATAATGATAATCATAAATATTTATAAATTTTTTTGTTTAAAAAAAAAAAACAGACCCTAAACCATTTGGAGTACCTTCAATACGTGAATTACTTCGTGTTCTCATATCATTACTCAATCCTCACGATCATCAACACACTGATACTATGCGACTCATGGCTCTTGGTATTTTGAATGTGGCATTTGAAGTTGGTGGTCGGACGATAGGTCGATTTGAAGTTTTACGTAATCTTGCTGTCGATGAATTGTGCAAATATCTTTTCCAAGTAATTATTTTTTTTGTTTTAATAAAAAGTTTATCTAATAACATATTATTTATCAGATTAAGATATTTAATTGACTAATTTGTTTGTAATTTAGTTGGCACGTACAGACAACATGATATTGTTATCATTAACAATTCGTGTTATCTCAACAGTTTTCGGCACACTTCGTCCATATCTTAAATTACAACAAGAACTTTATCTATCATTTTTAATTGAAAGGTTAACACCACCATCGTACAGTCTAAGATCTCTTGCATTAAATGAGGCATTTTCTAGTACTAACACCGATAATTCTCTGCAACTTGATCCTGGCATTCCAATATCACCAAATCGTGAGCAACGTAATTTTAAAATGAGTGATGTTTCATATGCTACTGGTGAAATCCGTGAATTATTGTTAGAATCATTGGGACAATTTGCTAGAGAGTCTTCTTTCATGGTTGATTTGTGGGTTAATTATGATTGTAATGTTGATTGTGGCGATTTGTTTGAGGAGGTTATTAAATTCTTAAGTAAGGTAAAAATCGGCAAACAAAATAATTTATTAATTAATTAGTTTCATATATATAAATTTTAATTTATATAACAACTAAATTTTATAGAATTCTTTCCCCGACTCCATTGGATATTCTGTGAGCAATTCACATACAATATGTTTTGATGCACTTTTAATGTTTGTAAATCATATGATAGATCGGTTACAGGTAATTAGTTGGTGTAAAAACTTTTTTGGTGGAGTGCTTTATTGTTATTATTATTCCAAAAATTTAATTGTTTTTATAAATATTATACAGGAAAATGTTAGTAATGCATCTAGTTGTGAATTATCTTGGGATCAATTGACAGCAGCTGATTATAATTCAGGATTAAAACCAAAGGTTAATAATTATTTTTAATTTTATTATATTTTATTTTTTGTATTCTAAAAAATTATATGAATTTTGTTCTCCATCTCATAAATTTTATTTTATTTTAGGATTATCCTTCTGCTTCAGAACTATTAAAGCGTAAACAACAAAAACAAATATTACGTGAAGGGGCAGCAAAATTTAATGAAAGCCCTAAAGCAGGATTAGAATTTCTTAAAGGTTTTTTGTCTTTACTTTCTTGAAATGAAAAAAATATTTACTATTTTTTTTTTTTTTTAAAATCAAATATTTCTAATTTCATTTCAATTTAATTGCAATTTAAATTTTTTTTTAGCAAATAGGATCATTTATAGCGATAATACGGTCGATGAAAATACTAGTACTGCAATATTTTTAAAATCAACACCACGTCTAAATAAAATTGTTCTTGGTGACTTTTTATCAAAACCTTCAAATTTTGAAATTTTAAAAGCTTTTGTAAAACTTTTTAATTTCCAAGGAGTATGTTTATTAATTGATTCATCATTATGTTAATAACAATGGTCGTGGTGGTAATTATAACTATAATTATTTTTTTTTTAGAGGAGAATTGATGAAGCCATGAGAGAAATGCTTGAATCATTTAGATTGCCGGGTGAGGCCCAACAAATTGAAAGAATCATGGAAACATTTGCTATAACTTATTTTGCTACTAAACCAGGTACTAATTATACATTAAATATTATGGTAAATATTATTTTTATTGAATGATGTAATTCTTTCAAACTAACCGTAATTATTAAAAATTTGAAAAAGCTGAAATTGCATCACAAGATGCTACATTTGTTTTAGCGTATTCAGTTATAATGTTGAATACTGATTTACATAATCCACAAGTTCGGGTATGATAAATTTTTATTTAAGACTAAAATTGCGAGTAAGTTTTATTTTATTCCATTGATATTGTAAATTAATTTGATTGTTATAATTAATTTATTAGCGACGCATGACAATTGAAGATTATATGAAAAATTTAAGAAATGTTAATAATGGACAAAATTTTGATACAGAATATTTGGTAAAGGTTTTATTTCTCAAATGACTCCAATGATTGTAATTTTTTAATCAAAACAATATTTAATTATAAAAATAGCATGCCATTTATGATGCCATTCGTAAAAAAGAAATAATAATGCCTGAAGAACATGAAGGTCAACTTGGATTTAATTACGCATGGAAAGAATTGTTACATAGAGCCGAAAGTGCAGGTAAATAACCATTAATTAGTTGAATGAAAATTTGAAAAAAAAATTAAGTATAATTTTAAAAATTTTTTATAGGACCATTTATAATATGCGACGTTTCTTTGTATGATAAAGACATGTATACGACAGTATGGAGACCTACAGTGGCAGCTATTTCCTATGGTAAAGAATTTTGAAAACTGCAACCTTTATGTTAAAATTTATTTACATAAAGAAACTATTAATCTTAAATTTATATATATATATATATATATATATTATTATTATTATTATTATTATCATAGCATTTAGTACAGCTCCAGATGATGCAACTTTACAAAAGGCTATTAATGGATTTCACCAATGTGCATTATTATCAGCTCAATATAAATTATATGAAGTCTTTGATTATATAATTATGTCATTGGCAAAAATGACAGGACTGCTTGGTTCCAGATATTCTAATGAGACTGCCAGTAATCCAATTATTAAAGTTCAAGGTATTGAAATCACAGTAAGTGACTTAGCAATTCAATTTGGAAGAAATTATAAAGGACAATTAGCTGCTGTTGTTTTATTTGCCGTTGCTAATGAACATGGAAATGTATTAAGAGATGGATGGAAATATGTATGTTTATGATTGGTTACATACCGTTATGTAATAATATATTTTTTTTTGGATTAAAAAGTTATTAAATGAAATGTCTTATTTAAACAAATATATATATAGATTTTAGAAATTATAAAGAATCTTTTTGTAAATTCATTATTACCAAGTTCAATGATACAAGTGGAGGATTTTTTGGCCGGTACAACAACAATTCCGCTTAAACCAAAAACCACCAATACATTTCCAAAGCAAGAAAGACGTGACAATTCTTTATTATCGGCATTATCATCTTATTTATTATCACCATATTCAAGTAATTACGAATCTTCAAGAAGTGCACCTACAGAAGAAGAAATAGAATGTACCATGTGTACAGTTGACTGTGTTAAAGCATGTCACTTGGATGACATATTTGCTGATATAAGGTTTGTTTACAATAAATAAATAAATAAATCATATATGATGTCATATTAATATATATTTTTAAAATGTATATATATTATAATGATAATGTTATTTTTGATTTATATATATATAGAACTTTAGGACAAGAATCACTCGAAAATCTTATGAAGGCACTTAAATTTATTGCAGATGGAAATACAACAACAAAAACCAGTAATAATAATAATACCACCACTACTAAATTATCTTATCCACCAACACCTCATACCACATACTCACAACGACAGTCACCGAAAAGCAGTTCCTATGATCCTGCTGCTGTATTCTTTCTTGAACTAATGATAAATGTTACATTACAAAATCGAGATAGAATTCAATATTTATGGTATGTAATTTATTACGATTTATTTATTAGTTTATTAATTTATTTTTTAAAATAAAAATTATAATTATTTGCATATATCATTGATTGATCATTTAGGCCAATTCTATTTGGACATATAACCGATATTTTAAAAGAATCTCAAAATAATAGTATTCTGTTAGTTGAGAGAACAGTTGTTGCATTGCTTAGATTGTGTATTCGTCTGACACATAAAGATGAAATGGTATTTGATATCTTGCTAGCATTAGAACTATTAGCGACATTACCACATGACGTAATAAATTCTGTTGGTGAACAAATGATGGCAGGAATATTAAATATCATTAAATCAGATCCATCATGTATCAAAGGCAAAAGGCCATGGGAATCAGTATTCAAATTACTTAGAGCAACATCAACACATCCGCAAGCATCTAAATATTCATTTGACGTCATTACATTTTTGATTAAAGAAAAGAAAAGTATCAATCTTGATAATTTTAATGATTGTGTAGAACTTTTGGCAGAATTTGCTTCAGCTGCTACATTTCCAATAGACCAACAAGATCAACAGTTTACTGAATTATCAAATCCAAAGAATTTAAGAGCTAACCTTACCAAAACGTAAGCAGTCTTTTTGTTTGTTTTTTTTTTAATCAATGAAAAATAATTTTTTAAAAAAATAATTAATAATAATAATAATAATAATAATAATAATAATAATAATAAATAATAAATAATAATTCTTTATGTACAAAAAAAAAAGCCAATCAGCTATTATAGATAGAGCAAAAGAAGCAGTTGTATTGATGAATATGTTGTATATGGAAATACCAAACTTACTAAGTGAAACTGGGAAATCTCCAAGAGAAGCATGGTCAAATTATTGGTTACCAATATTAACTGGATTTAGTCAACAATGTTATAGTCCATGTCTTGAAGTTAGACAAAATGCGATATCATGTTTGCAACGATCGCTTTTAAATCCACAACTTGTATCACATGGTGGTACAGAATGGGTATTGGTATTTGATCTTGTGCTGTTCCCATTGTTGGATCAACTATTAAAACCAGAAATCTATCAAGCCGATCCAGTTGGTATTGACGAGTCTAGAATAAGAGCATCGGCTCTATTATGTAAAATATTTTTACATTATTTGAATAGATTGATTGAATGGGGTGGATTGATTACATTGTGGTCTCAAGTTTTAGATGTAATGGAGAAATATATGTTTACAGGCGATAATGATTCATTGGTATGTGCAGTGTTATGCATTTAACAACAATAGTAGTAATCATTATTATAATGCCAAAATTTATTAAATTATTTCTATTTTTAGAGAGAAGCAGTTCCCGAATCATTAAAGAATATGTTATTGGTAATGTTAACTTCTGGTGTTTTGATTCCTCCAGGATCATCGTCATTAAAAAATGGAAATAATAAGCTTAATGAAAAAGCATCAATTGAGATATGGGAAATTACATGGATAAAAATTAATAAATTTTTACCAAATCTTAAAATAGAATTAAATTTAAATTAGATCATTTAGATTCGTATTTTACACTTATTATAGGTTTATTATTTATTTACTTATTTATTTATTCAAAATAAATTTGGTTTTAGGTGGTTTCATATTTATTTTTGTATTAGTGTGTATGTATTATTAGTTTGATTCGAAATTGAAAATGCTGTTATAAAATTAAAATATGATTTTTATATTTAGGTTTTTCTTTATTTATTTTTTAGCTTATGTTTGATGATGATGTTATATGTTATAGTGTACTATTAGAACTATCTAAACTACCATCAGAGGTATCTAGACTAATTTTATTAATTGTATTAGTGTCATTATTATTAATATCCTTATTATCATTATTATTATTATTAAAATTATTATTATTATTAATGTTGATAACAGTTTCAGATGTTACAGTATCACTAATACTACTATCAAGAATGTTCATATTTCGATTATTTGTATTTTTTGGAGTGGCATAAATCTCAATTTTTCCAATCAAATTCAAAATGTAATTTGGTGGCGGTAAAGACTGATTTAGAATTAAAACTGTTCGATGAATGTAATCGATGGCTTTTGAATTAGGTCCACGAAATATCTTTGGTGTCTCGAATCCTTTTGTGAACATATATATCATAAAAGATAAATAGGAAACACTGATTAAACTCGTCACAAGCAAATACCAAATTCCTACAGCAGAATTCCTCGGATTTATTGTTGAAATTTGTCTTTTTGAAAATATTCTAAACTTTATGATTGGTTTAAACGTGTAGAAAAATGCCAATGTCAATAGTATCCAACCTAAGACTATGTCTGCCATATAGATGATTTCTTTTGCTGCTGTTTCATAAGGACTGTTGTTGTCGTGTATAGTGAAAGCTACTTGAGATATTCCTCCCATACCAAATATGACGCACGCCCCGATAATTACTTTAAAAAATAATGTATTTCTTTGATTTGGTGGATAAAATTTCTTTCCAATATCAAGAAAACACCAAACGACTATATATGTGTGCGTTTATGTGTAATAATAATGATCAATATTAATTTTTTTTAATAAAAATTTTTTAAATAAAAACATTAAAAAAGTATACGCACGCACCTACAAAAATGAACAACTCGAAAACAATCAAATTGAATAAATAATGAAAAAATTTATTTTCGCAATCATAAATTTCCCATAAAAGATTTGTGCCCGATGCAAGTGTGGTGGCTACTGATGTTAAAAATCTAATAATAAATTAATTGGAAATTAAAATTTTTATATTTTTTTTAAAAAGTTTAATTTCAAGAAACTTACAAGGAAATTCTCAATTTTGTTAATTTTTGAAATATGTAAAATCCAATTGTTATTGTGGCAACGCACGAGAATGATAAGGCCGCTAAAGGAAGAAGTACATTATCACCTTTACATAAGAAATCGACACTATTTGGGTCTTGATCACTCATTTATTATTTGTTATATACGAAGATTATTTTATCTGATAAAATTTCTATTTTTTAAAAATTTTTCCAAAAGATACATAATCTATATTTGCGTGTGCTGTATACGTGCGCGTGTATGTATAAATAATATTTTTCTGGATTTTCGCTTCGACTATCTATCTATCTATCTATCTATATATCTATATATATATATATATATTTAAAATTGAGAATAAATTTATCTTAAAAAAAAACGGGCAGATATATTTATACGATATTTATTAGGTACTAGAACTTGATATTAATATGTATTATATGAATTTCCGTTCTATAAGCATAAGAGAATAATGTAACAAATATAAATTTTAGTCATATATATATAAATAATGACGAAATCGTTGATTATTGGTTACAATTAATTATTATTATATGTGTATAAATGATGATGGCTTATTACATTATGATTATGCTAGAAAGAGGGTTTAGGTTTTTGATTTGGATAATTTATTTTTTATCACAACCATTTGCTCGTCTACCCAATTGACTAAAATTTAATTACTTACTCTTTAAACAATGGATTAAAAAGATCACTAACCGTTAATATCAATTCATAATTATTTTTTTGGGGAGGGGTTTTTTTAAAATAAGTGCTAAAATATTAGTAGTCAAGTCAAGATTAATAATAATAACGAATGGAGTTTTCTACCAATCCTCCTTTTTCGATTTGTTGTTTATCATTAAAGGAAAAATCTTGGGTTATTTATATTTACTGTTTATATATTATATGCTGCAAATCACTATTTGTTACAAAAAAAAAAAAAAAAAAAAAAAAGTTTTACATCGAATTGTTTATTTGTTTTCTTATGTGCGGATTTTCTCAAACATATCGAGATTGCATCTAGGTGTCGTTATCGTGCTTTACAACATTATCCAACAGTCCGTGCTTTATTTCATACAAAACTTAAAAAAAAAATTTGTTTCATACGCAAAAACCATTATAACGTTGATGTCAATGAAACAAAAAAATATGCATCGCAATGAATTTTTAATTTAATTTTGCATATTTGCATTTTAATATTAATATAAATATGATTACGGAAATTTTTTCTGTTATTATTATATACAATAAAAAAGGAAACCATTCTCCATAAATAAAAAGCTAACTATCAAGAAGAAATGAAAAGAGTTTGAAGTAATTGGTAAAAAGTGGAATTAATTAATTAATAAAACAATATGTTATGTATGATTAATAATAATAATAATAAAAAAAATTCATTGATTAAACTCTCTCATCATATTGACACTCTTTTTGTCTCCATCTTCTTCAAAATATTAATGATTGTTTAGATATAATTTGTATTATAAATTTCCCTTCTATTTTCTAGATTCATAAGATCATGTAATATCAATACCAATGAAAACCTCGAACCTCGTTATAACAAAGTTAAGTGCGCGTTGTAACGAATTTTAAAATTTTTTATGACGCGGCTAGTAATTTTCGTTATAATAATAATAGTAGATGTGCGACTTGATTGGGATATGTTTAAAGCCTTTAAAATGTCTAAATAGAGAGAGAGCGAAATCCTATATACTATTATTAAAATTTCGGAAATTTTGGGAATCGACCACTTTCCGGCTACACAAAGTGTCATAAGCTGATTTATGTAAGAAGTGCACTTTTATTGGAAAGTAAATAAATAATAATAACCCACACATTCAATTTCCTACACTTGTAAATTTTTAATATTAAATAAAAATTTACGGGCATTCCCATATTTTCCTTGTCAAGGAGTATTGATGCGAAAAAAAAAAAAAAAAACCAATCGTATATATGGCATAGTCGAATCTAATTGTCTATACTTGGACATTGTCAAATTATATGCCCATCCATCTATTACTATGGATTTAAATGTCTAAAATTGTTATAGAGAGAGTTCATTATAACGAGGTTCGACTGTATATTAATCCTTACACGTAATAGTAAGTTACCAAAAGTATACTAACACGAAAATCTCTGGACCTAGGAATTCACATCAAACTTGTAGCAAAACTTGATTTTATTCACGTTCGACGAGATTTAGAAATTATACGATAATAATAAGTAATAAATATAAAGTTAAGCTTTCTTTTTACGAAAAAAAAAAAAATTTTTTTTTGCAACACAAATTGATATAAATATCACTAGAGATTGCTTTAAAAAATATCACACAAAACTCGATTATAATATATAAATATGGAAGACGATTAGATAAAATAAAATAACTCACAAGTAATCGATCACATGCTCGAAATGCTTTCAATTTTTTTGATAAAAAAACAATCATAAAAGTCAAGCAAAAGTTAATAAGATCAAGAAATTCCAAAATGAAATAAATATAAATTATACACAAATTCATCATATGCTGTCAAAACATTTTATTATTATAATTTTTTTTTTTTTTTTACATAAGAAAATTTTCTTCAAGCTTATGATAGATAAATTATAGATTTATTAAATTTATGCTTAATTCCTTAGTATGATATTTAAATCAAATTTCAAATTAAGTTTAGTTTTCAAAAGAGAATAATTTTTATGTAACTTTTTTTTGACCGATAAATCGAAAAGTATCAAAAGTTGTTTTGTAAAGATTTGCTTCGTTTAAATAGTTTTCTAACACTGTTTTTAATCTAGAATCATCATCGTCATTATTATTTGATTTAATATTATTTTTAACAATACCACTACGGCCACCAATGATGCTTCCTTTGCGTTGTTGCCGGTTATTATTAAACACGGGATTACTATCATTGCAGCTTAATATTTCATTGATGATCGAGCTTGAACTTGAATTTTGTTGGCTCAATATAAATCCCATATGTTTTAAAAAACCATCACGCAACACAATCGCACCGGCTTCACCAACTTTTCCAGCCCAACTTCCGCAAGGTACACGTTTAACAAAACTTTCAATGTTAATCAATAAATTAGTATTTCTCATAAATTCTTCTATTCGTTGGTGAATATTTGTATTTATGTTAAATGTTCTGATTTTAGTCACAACTAAATGGGTGGGTGGATGAATGAATAAAAAATGAGAATTTTTCTTTTAAATAATAATAAATAAATGTAGAATATTACTTGTATCATTAATTTTTTTTGTTAATGGGCCCATGTTACATAATTCTATGTTAGGTTCCATTAGCTTTATATTTTTTTAATAACAACAAAAATTTGTATTAATTATATAGTAATAATAATAATAATAATAATAATAATAATAATAATAATAATAGTAATAGTAATAGTAATAGTAATAATGATGATGATGATTCACCTCGAGCCACCCGTTTGACTTTAAAACTCTTACTAACTCTATAAAAGAAAATTAATATTTTAAAATTGAATAAAAATTTTTTATTTTTAACATAAAGAAAAAATACCTTTGACCACAAAAGATTCCCATTGATGTTCTGTGAACTCCAGTATCTTAAATCTCATAAGAACAAAATCAAAGGTGTTGTCCTCGAATGGTAACCCTTGAAGAAAATTGCATTTGATAAATTCAACATTTGAAGGTCTAGTTTCAGTAATCAACTCAAGATTATCTACACCAGTATATCTACATTTCGGATAATCCGACGACATTTCACATAACCAACTGCCCGGCCCACAACTATTATTGTTATTATTATTGTTTCATTATTATTAGATAATAATAAACTTTACGTAAACAATAACACAAAAATAAAATATTATGTAAACATTATTTTTTTTTGTGAATTGTTACCTTACTTGAAGAACCTTTAATTGTTCATTCCTCAATTTTTCTTTAATGGGCGAAGAAAAATTTCCATTCCATACTTCACGTATTAAATGATGTTGGATATTCATTTGATCAATCTCACCTTCATCCGCTTGATAATCCCTAACACAATTAACATTGTTACTACCACTGCTCGTACTATTACTTTTTCCATTATTGTTATATGATATCCTGAACTTCCATTTTTTTGAGTGGGCTGCTCCCATAATTATTATTTTTGTTTATTAGAAGTTTTTTTTTAAAAATAAATATTGTCATAAAATATAATAACTATTATATCTATTATTATTCGTGATTGATTTAGAGAAAAGAAAGAAAGAAAAAAAGGAAGAAGGAAGAAAGAAAGAAAGAAAGAAAGAAAGAAAGAAAGAAAATGCCGTCGTATTTAAATTGTTTTTTGAATTTCTGAATTTCATTCAATGAAAATATTTTAGGAAAATAATTAAACTTTTAAGATTGATTTGATTTGTAGTTTATTGTTATATTAGTAGTAATGATGGTTTTGTTTGTGTTTTTGTTTTTCTCATCATCGTTGTTAGTGAAAATTAAAAAATTAATTCTCCCTTGAAAATGTATATGCAATGTAATTATACTGTAATCTAATTGGTATTTTGATTTTAATTTTTTTTTGCAAATTATTTTAATTATTTAATTATAAGCATCAATATTAAAATGTTTAAAGGAAGACTCGGGGTTTCATTTATTGTTATATAAATTTGTGTAATCAATATTAATAATTTCTTGGTATATATATGTGTGTGTATTAATAAATTTACTTTTATTTGCATAAACATAGAAATCCCTCACCATTTTCAACGGGAACCTGTAGTCAAAAGAATACACATTATTTATTTATCTTATTATTGTCGACGTTTTGAGATCCACGGAACGAATAGTTTTTATGCCCAGGAGGTCGGGTTAGTTAGAGATAATAAAAATGGCAAGCACATAATAACAATAACAATATAGTTATGTATATCTATGCGCTTTTTTTATTGTGAATATTTTATATACATATACATACACACTTACATTCGATAAATTTAATTGTTAACCAAAATTATTCCTATTAGATGTTACACGGATTAAGCTATCGGTCCGGTGACGTGTAACTGTTACATAACAATTACACGATGTTTTGAAACTTACATACGTGAAATTTAAATTAACAATCAAAGGAAATTTCACACGCATCTCCTCAAATTTTCACATATAGCAAATAATCGTGTCCGATTCGGCTCTGGGATTGTCAGTCCTATCTCGGGATAAGTTTCCAGAAAAGTTTATAACAAATAATTCAAGTAATTATTTATTATTATTATAAACTCGCACAAGTCTTTTCTGAGTTTGATACATTTTGAACTGAACTTAATGTATGTTGAATGCTTATTCAATTGATATAATTTTCAGTTTGTATACATCATCCCTCGAACTTAAAGACAATTATAAATCACAATGAGATTTTTACTAATCATTGGTCAGTTATAATTTATTTAAATCATCCCTCAAAAAATCAAGAAATCTTGGGAATTGGAAAAAATTCTGATCCCTAATTACTATTAAAATATTATTATTGCCATTAATGGGAATTAGTATTAGTGTTCAATATCAAAAATCGAAATTTAGAATGTTCGAAATTAATGTCCATAAAAAGAATTACACATTTAATTAAAAAATAATATTGCAATAATCAGCATCTCAAATTGTCATTTCCGAGCTTGCGGTTGATATTGTATCAAGTAGTGGTGTTTGTGAAGATGTCATATAATATTCGGATCATTTGGAGTTTTCGGGATTTTAAATTTAAATGGTATTTTTGAAATATCATGTGATCTACATGTTGGATTTTAACAAAAACAATCACTATCCCAATTCAGACAAATTTTTTTTTCGTTAAATTTTGAGTTGTACAATAATAATTTTGGTGTTACAATATTTTGAGTTACATAACCAAATTTGGTAATGATTTTCTTTTAATAATAAAAAAGAAACAATACTTGAAAAAAAAATTGTTCACAAAATACAAAACTTACTTGGTCTCAATTCTCAAGTGTGTAACAAAATTTGGAATCTAAGGCTCGACCAATTTTTAGTTTAAGAAAAAACTAGCCGACAAGTTTGAAGCTTGAGCCATACAACCAAAACTTAACGGTTAACTTTTTAAATTTTTTTTTAGTATTCTGAAGCTGACCAATTGTTACAATAAGCGATTAATTAACTATAGATGATCCTCACCGTAGTATGGTATACAAACTTTTAATTAATATTGTAGAACTCAAAAACTACCCATAAAAAAATTTTTTAACTCGTAGATTTAGTATTAGATGCTGTTTCTCTAGCTTTTCGAATTTTAGTATTTGTATTAGTAATAATATTAGTAATATTAGTAATATATTTTGCCGCGTAAATCTTAACTAAGAATGGAATAAATCACATAATTATATCTAAATTTGGGCAGATTAAAATATTAACGCGTTTGTGTAATTAAATAATGAAACATAAAAATAATGCCTCTTAGATGACACGAGAACCAGATGTTCATTATTTTTGATTATAATTTTCTAAACTTTGATGCAAGACAATTCCTTAGACGAACAATAATTGGCTCAGAAGATGAATACGAACGAATTAAACGAAGAAGCTAGCAATCCTTTTGAGGATATATGATTGATGATTTTAACTCAGTATTTTCAGTATTTGACAAAATGATGGTAAGCAAATTCTAACTCAAAAAGACCTATTTATTAACTCTAATTACACGAATCACGTGAATTACATCATTCATAGATTAGAATTGAAAATTAAAATTTCTCCTATTAGCGCAGCAATAGGCTTCGTTTGCGGTTATCAACCATACAATTTCATTTTTAAAAGCCAATTATCATGTACATTATCGTATGTCAAGAAATAAATAAAAGTCTTTTCTTGATCAAAGATTGTATGTATGAAAGCATTACTGTTACTCTAAAGGAAAAAATTGTATTAACACATGCTTTTCTGATGCTCTGGTACTAGCTTTTACTTGACGTTTGCTCTTTAGAGTTTACCAGATTTCAATTTTTCTGCATGCATAATTCCACCTCTTTTCAATATTTTAGCATAAGAATTAAGACGGATCATAATACAGTCAAACCTCGCCACAGCGGATTTCGTAAAAAAAAATCCGTTATAACAAGAAATCCGCTGTGTATGTGACAAAATTGGTGATTATTGGCAAAATTTTTTTAATAATAAATGAATAAATAATACATGCGGAAATTAAAATTATTTTGTTTTAATATTTGGTTGTATTGGTTTTTCATTATCTAATAATTTCATTTTTTTTTTTCAAATGATTTAAATTTTTTATAATCTAATTGACTTTATTATGAATCTTTGGGAAAATGATCTTGATTTGTTTTAGTTTTAAAAATTGATAAATAAATCTATCGCTCGCACACATTTGGATAAATAATCTATCAATTGTTTTATTTTAGTAACTTGAAAAATTTTGTTACTCGCATAAATTTGGACAAGTATTCTATCGATTATTTGTTTATTAATTTATTTTAGAAACTTGGAAAAGGTTGTTACTCGCAAATATTCAGTCAAATATAACCTATCAATTGTTTGTTTATTGATTTATTTTAGAGCCTTGGAAAAGGTTGTTACTCGCAAACATTCAGACAAATAACCCATCAATTGTTTGTTTATTGATTTATTTTAGAAAATTTGTTACTCGTAAATATTTGAATAAAATTGTTTGTTGATTAAAATAACCTATTTGGTAATTTAGATAATTTAGATAAAATTTCATAAATTTATATGTCACGTGAATCCGCTGTGATGAGACTAGTAGTCATATTGAAACAAATTTATTAATAAAATCCGTTATGACAAACATTTTAATTAATAAAAAAGGACCAATGTTTAATTCTGTCGTAACAAAAAATCCACTGTGGCGAGGCCCACTGTGATGAAGTTTGATTGCGCCATTGTTATGTAACTGTTTCTTCTTTTGTGTATATGGTCATTTTTCTCCTGCTGGTCTTAGATTTCATTAAAGTTGATGAGGTGTGTTACTTTAGAATTGGATATGATATGTGATGTTAGATTAATAATTGCGCAAATAATATATATGTGTGTGTTGTTAAAAATAAAATGATAAGTAATAATAATAACAATAATACAGTTAGTCCTCTATAAGTGTACCCTGCGTCCAAATCCCAAGCTTGAGACTTAGAGATAAATGTAATCCCTCTATGTTTTGCACTGCACGCTCTTTTCCTGGTCCCGTTCATAAAACCACTCTCTCCAACCGCACTCACGTGACTTTAACGTGACCATACTGCGATATGATTTTTGTGATACACGAATAACTGATGTTTTAGCAATAGTAAAATGATAATTCAAGTAATGAGTAAATAGAGAATCCTTTCTTTTAATATATACAACAATGGTCAATACTTTGTTTTTTTAATAGATGTAAAGGATTATTATTACAATACAGGTAACCCTACATTTTGCTCAATCCATCTAACATGGCCAATTTATTATTTGTGGCAAATAATCAAAATCCATATTTTAAAGTTATTTTACTTATTTGGAAGTTATAAAAGAGAATGAATGATTTAATGATTATAGTGAACAATGATTTAATAATTAAGTATAATGTTAATTTAATACTATTTCGAATTAAAAGATTGATATATATTTATTTTTTAAAGTAATAAGGGTAATTAGATCTTAGTTATTATAATTCCTAATTTCTTTTCCTTTATCTTTATATATAATAATTCCAACTATAAGAGCTTTGACACTACTGAAGATATTGAAGGTGACAAAGATGATAGTATTGTGCCAATTGTAATAAGTGTCAAAGCTTAAAAAAGTTTAACATTTTTAGAATCTCCTTCTTGTATGAACAATTTAATGCTCTTGATAAAATTTAAAAAATTTATTTTTTATTTTTTATTAATGCCATGTGCAACCAATAAAATACTTTTGTTCTATGTATTGCGAGTGTGCGATCTGAGTTTCCTCATTAATAGGTTATTTAATGCTCAACACACAGCCTACCTGCTGACTTATGGTTGATTATATTGTTTGACACACAGCCTACCTGCTGACTTATGGTCAAGTTTCCTTTATTTATATATATGTATATGACACACAGCCTACCCACTGAATTACAGTCACTAGGTTCTATTTAAATAATTATACCCCAAAGGCATCCCCTTGAGATGTATCTGAATAATTAAAAGGGTTCCCAACTAATAATTAAAGGTTGGCCAGACCATTAACCATTAGAAGGGCTGGGGAGGGTCAATCACACTGGGTTTATTAGTTACTTACAGTCAAAGACTATTTTATGTAAGGTTATATATTTATTAAGAGTTATTATATTAACAATTGATTAATTAATGATGATTATTAACTTGGTCTAAAGCCAAGTGTATTTATACCTCTTTGGACAGTACAAATAATGTGCTTATCAACTAATTACTAATTCCAAATAAATATTTACATCAGATGAGTAGGTTAATAAATATAAATATAAAATATGAATAGGAATAATCTTTCATATGACACTTCACAATGTGCGGCATAGCTGTTACAATAATAATATAGAAAGATGGTCATTGGTTGTGATGTAATATTTAGCAAATCACATGACTTCCGTAGTAAATTCGTTCTAATTGGTCAATATTAACCGAGTAATTGATAGGTCCAAGATTTACTATCCCACAGTATAAATGCACTCCTCCATAAGTGCATGGTATTGCCTGGTCCCAAGAGGATTGCACTTATGGAGGGTTGACTGTAACAATAATAATAATTTAGTACTGAAAATATTTCATCAAGAAAGAAGATCTTCTATAGGTGCCAAACAAATCATCCAAAAGCACTTTGAGACCAGATAATAAATTACCCAAATGACCACCTGGTGCCAATTGTAATAAATTCAAACTATAACACTAACTACCTCAATACCAGGAATATTACAATTGCCTGGACAATTCCATTATCAGCATTATTATAAACAATAAGAGGACCTCTATGTTATCTGTGATGCCTATTATGTATTTTCCCTTACCAACCCTCAATTTATGAGAATTGGATGCCCTGGTGATATCTCAACAAGTATTAACTACTTTAAACAATTGGACTGCTGCTTTTGTCTTCTCCAATGATTCAATGCCATCCACCTGTCACCAATGGAGCTTCTTTTGAACCTCTTCAATTCTATGTCCATGTGTTAAAACCAAATCTGAAATTGATGATGCTGCTAACAATGACACAGTGACATATATTTTTTGATTTAAATTGGTTTTAACATGCCATTTATGCCAAATTTTTATAGGTGCAAACATACATCCTCTATGACACATTTTGCTAAAAGCTCACTTAATTAATATTAATAATAATAATAATAGTAATAATAAATATTAATATTAATGAAAGATTATGGGTGTATGCAGGTTGAGTACAGTACACTTCATTCAGTGAGTATAGTACAAACATAAGTAGAATTAGATTGAGTACAGTAAGTACAATTATATGTTCCACACACCCAATCCAAAAAGGCATGTAAATACAATTATCATTACCAAAAATGGTTAAAATGGTCTGTACTATACTCACTGCACAAAATGCACTGTACTCAATCTAACACTACCAAAAGAGGATTTATAATTATGATTGGTTATAATATTATCAACATTGTGTGATATATTATTTACCTGGCCAGCACAATGTGTTCCGCCTCCAGATACATGATGGATATGTGCTACAGTGTGATCAGTAATCTAAGACTTGGCAGATGTTTGATGATGACTAAGGCACCACATGAGCCAGCTTTTGATGAGATGGCATAAGATTGACAATTACTTTTTGAAATATTGGTATGAACCACTCTAACAATATCAGGTCTAATGGGTGCTTAAATATTGCTGGTATCTTGGGTCTAATTGTTGCTGACTGAATAAATTAATGAATAAATTGATTATTTTTAATATCAAATTAATGAAAAAATTATCCAATTAGAGTTGTATTATAATTATTCAACTAAATTGCCATTTTTTATTTAATGACAAATGATATTTGGTTGATTATCAATTGGCCATGTATTATTATTATAAGTAAAATCAATTTATAAAAAGCTATTTAGATTTATGACAAAAAAAAAGGAACAGAATTCTTCAAGTTTGGCCTTCTGTAAAATTCCAAAGAACAGTTTTAAAAAAATTTTTTTTTGGATTACATAATCTTCCAATAGATTCTTCCCGTTTTATAAGACCATGAGTATTTTGTCCATATGATTTTGATTGATTGATTAATTGACTAACACTTTATTAAACGCCTATATATATATATATTTGATCCAGAACAAATTATATTCAGTGTATTGAAAATACAAAAGAGCAAAAAATTTGTTTGGGCTACATAATTTGAGTTACAAAAAGACTTTAATATGCCAATATATCTCTTCCATAAGAATCTTTGTGATATGCACACACACACATATATAAACTGTTTTTTTAAAAAAATTAAATACAAAAGATCACATTTGTCAGTTCCAAACAAAGCCTCAATAACAAGTCATTTCCCATAATCCAGAATAAACAATAATCTAGGCAAGATGATGATGACACACATATGATGAAAAACCAAAACCGGACTAATAGTAACAGTGAAAATAAAAAAATAAAATCACGTTACAATCATATATAATACATCTTTAAAACATATCCATATGGACTTAGACTTCTTCTATAATCATAATCATAAGGACTTGAACTAAATCTTTTGATCGATTTCTTGGTGATCTGTTGTAGCCACCATTATTATTATCAGGACTATCATAAGGTTGTAGTGATTTCAGTCCCAGCCTCTGTCACGATCATAATCTTGAACATGAACATGATCTTGGTTACTGTCTCTATCACAGTCACAATCATCATAATAAGGGTCACCATGTGAATAACAAGAAGTTCGATTTCTTCCGTGTCTAGAAGATTGACCTCCACAATCATAATTCCTCCTCCAAAAATTATCAGATTTTTGTTTATAAAATTAATAATAAAAAATAATTTATTTAACTGCTAGATGACCTGTTTCACCACGTTGAAAAATTTTCCACTCCTAACAACCATACCTTTCCCCCTTGTCCACCACTTCCCATTCTACAGTAAACCATTTAATTGTTTTACTGGATCATCAGCGTCGCGTGGATCATAATTATTAATATTTCAAAAATCTCTTAATATAAATGATAATAATTGTTATTAACTTCAAATTCAACAAATCCATAGCCCATAGGTTTAATATAACTTCTCCATATCTTTCAAACTGTCATGTCATGTTTTAATCAGTTATTAATTGGTTTCTTTTTTTTTTTTTAATGTGTATAACGTACATTTGCTTGTAGTAATTTTTTTTTTCTGAATGATATTAATGGAATTGTGTGACAAAATCTATTTTATTTTTTTTTTTTGGTAAATATGGTATTAAATAAAATTTACATGAAAAAAAAAAAAAGAAAAATACAAAAAAATACATTATATAAAAAATATGCGCAAAAAACTACATAAATGATTTATTAAATTCGCCGAATTCTCTTCTTCAGCATCAATTAATTCCAAAAAAACTTTTAATTCTTAAGAAAATAATATTCTTCTTCTCGAAAAAAGTCATATCTCAATTGTCATCTCTTAACAGCATTGAAGAATGAAACATTGTGTATATATAATATTCGCAAACAATCCTTGAAACCTCTCATATGATAACAACAAGGCGATTATCATATTATCCGAAATTTCAAGGATGTGAGAGGGGATGTCTGGTAATTTTCTTTCTCGTATGATAACGACAAGGGATTATCATATTACCAAACTTCAAGGATGTGAGAGGGGACGTCTGGTAATTTTATTTCTCAAACTAGACGTCCCCTCTGGTATGTTGAAAGAATAAAAATGTATTTTTTGAAATCAATATCATTTCATATTTTCATACTTGTATATGAAATTGTTTGGAAAAAACAATTTTTCCAAAAATTTGGGGAAATTAAAATGAAATGTTTTTAAAAGAATAAAAAAAAAATTTTTTCTGAATTTTTAATTAACCAAATTAGTGATATATAATATCAATTTTTTTATTGGTCGTTAATGAATAGTTATTTTAATTCAAATAATAATAACTGAACTTTAAGTTTATAATTAAAACTGTAACAAAACCAGACAAAGTGAACAAGATAATTCAGGGTCCAGGTGCTGAGACGTTACTAATTAATAATGTGATGTAATTTCCTAAATTATACATAGAATTGATTATCCTTATATATCGAATCCATTATGAAGCGCAAGAATTACAGCGCCATTAGAAGTATTTTAAAAAAGCAAATTCTCTTATCATTATGTTTCAAAAATAAATAATATTCAGATTATCTAAAGAGAAAATTAACTATGGAAAGAAAGAGAATAATAAACACTAGGAAAATAAAACAGAATAAAACAGAATAAAAGCGAACAACTTACATAATAAAAAGTGGAAATACAAGAAATCTTATGATTACATAAGTGGGGAAGTCTTTTTCAAGTAATATCAATAAATAGTGATAGCTATAATATACTGAATACTAAGACTATACCTGCTAATCATTGTCAAATAGACTTAACATTAACTTTTTTTTCTCTCTTTGTATATGTACAGTCTATTCTCTCTATAACGAACCCTCTGTCCCTATATGTAATTTCTCTGCTTTTGGTCGTTATAGAGAGAGTTTATTAAGATGGTCGTTATAGAGAGAGAAATTAATTATAAAAAATTGAAACGGGGACAAAAGGGAAGTTCGTTATAGAGAAATTTTACTTAGTGGTCGTTATAGAGAGAGTAGACTGTATGTTTTGAGATATGCATGGTTCTTATATTCTACGGTCAAAATCTAGCAAAATTGTTCAAATTGTTCATTTGGGGCAATTGTTAACTTTATTGGTTTTATTCATTATTAATTGATTTTTGGTTTAAAAAGGCAACCATTAAAAATGCAAGTAAAAAATAATTTTTTGTTTCTTCTAAAAATATCAAACCGAATATATCTTGAGAGAAAAATTTTTTTTTATGTTGTAATTATTATAATTACTAAAGATTCATAAGATTGTCTGAAAGGTATATTTGTGGATTTTAATTAAATATTGGTGTAAATCTGGTGATAAAGATTTTCCTACCAGAGCCAGGCTCTAAAGTCACAATCGGTTGATCAATTGGATATTAAACAATTTAATGCATTGACATAAAGAGATCAATGAATTTATCGGCACTTGTTGGTCTAGATGATGGAGAGGGAGGTTAATTTGTTGAAATGGCTTTATTGTGCAGAATGGTAGCCCATTACATTAATTCCCATTTTTAACTTGTAGAAATGAATCTATATATTATCTAATAATGATTTGAGTTCCTTTAAATCTTTATTTTTAAATACATAATATACAGTATGTATGTATTTATGTGCATCTTTTAGAAATTTGAATAGTCGGAATCTATCACCTTCTACATGTTTGATACCCAGTGGCCCGGGACCATTGCCGATTTTCGTTGTAGTAAGCAAAAAAATCTGGATAGAAATTATATTATAAATAAATGATTTGTGTATTTGCTTGCGTAACCATTATATAATTATAAGGGTTATGAAAAGCAACATTACTGTTGAAGATGGGAGGGAAAACTTGTTCTAGACAATTTGGAAAACAATTCATTATGTAACATTTAATCATTGGAAATTTACAGACGTTGGAGTATACTACTTTGTTTAAAACGTTAAAGTCATTCTCATCCTCTCCATGTACATAAAGCTAATCTGACTTCATCCATCACCCAATGATACAATGATGCAACTAAATTTCGGGGGGCATGGCATGGCTCTGGAGTTTATCGAAACTGCATCATTGTCACGAACACTTCTGTCTTCCCTCGCAGAACCTAGGCTGGTATTACTCAGATAAGCATGTTAACTGAAACAATCCAATCTCTGGGGTAACTTAGTAACCTAAGTTGCAGAATTTTGAAGTTTTGTAATGTTAGGAATATTCAACTCGTTTCAGGTTCAGGAAGTTGCGATTCAGAGTGGGATTTTCTAAATTTCATTGAAGTTGTTGCATTTGGATTCTGGCATTAGGCGGAAAACCATAAAATAAAACACTTCAGATTTTGGCACGCTCTATATAAATCAATCATTTCCCTAAATTCTCTGTTTCTTGAGAAATTTTCGTTTGATTAACCGAATTTATTGTTTTTTAAATGGGTAGGGGATCTTACCAACAAAGCAGCAACCCAGCAGCCTGATGGTGGTGGCAGAACTAAATACCAAGACTAACCATTATACTGGTGGGAAGGGTAGCATGAAGCGAATATCACACGAACACCAACTCTCATCAGTGATAAATGCCCATATGACAATGGCCAAGCTTGAAGGTAAAGCCGCTCTTGTGGAAGCTGTTAAAGCCTTTCACTTGTGGAGAAATCTTCATGATGCTGAATTGTGATTAATTGCACCGCGCTTGTTTGTTTGTGGTAGGAAATTTTATTTAAATCTGACACCTGTGATCAGTATCATCAGCTTTATTGATGATTTTTAAGGAACTATACATTTGGGAAGGAAAAAAAAATTTTTTTTGATCCCACCCATCCAAGTAGAATTATTTATTTATTTATTTTAAGGACCAACCCCAGAAACCTGGGCATGATTTTGAAACCAGTTCTTAAAAGTTTCATTTCCACATGGTGATGCAATTGTTTGTTATGTATGGTAAAAACAAATCACGAGTAATTGTCAAATAAAGGTAATAATAAAAAATATTAATCAATTCTTGGAAAATAATATTTGGAACTCCTTACAGGAAATTATTAAACGTTTGATCTTTGTGGTGTGGTTGCCTGTCCCCGTTGAATGTAAATGCAAGTAGCTGAACGATGGTTTATTTTCAGATGTACTTTTTAGAGTAACATGTTGAGATTACAAATTGAATGATAATAGCTATAATAATAATAGTTATTATTGCTACCATTACTATTATTGTATATTATTCGTGTTACCATAATAGAAAATAAAGCCCCAACGACCAATCTAAGTGTTTACAACCAATATAAGTATACAAAATAAATTACTAGTTTCACAGCAAAAATTTTATATAAATATATTCGTTCATTCACTCACCACTGTAAGTTTTTAAATTAAACTTAATTTCGAAAATAAATTTTAATTATTTTAATTTTTAAAATGAAACAATTCATAATTTTTACCATCTTATTATTAGTATTAACAGTTCAACTTACTACAGCCAGTGTATTGCCAGCATCACCAATAGAGGTTGAAAAAAGAGTGATTAATAATGGATTTACATTGTGTGAACAAAATACACCAATAACTATTGTTGATTTTTTATATTCTCCGGATCCGGTTAAGATTGGACAAGATCTCATTATGAATTTAGCTGGGAAAAGCACAGTCGCAGTTGTTAATGGAACAATTGTTGATATTGTAGCAACTATATTTGGAGTTCCGGTTTTAGAAAAAAAAGAAAGTTTTTGTGATAATATCGCCAAATATTCTCCCACTTTAACTTGTCCAATACCAGCTGGTGACTTCAATTCTACAATTACTGAACTTATACCAAATGACGACAAACTTAAAAATATACCTGAAATCTTTGTTCGTGTAAAAGGTAACTAATTAATTACTTTAAATAAATGATTGATTGATTATAATTATTGGTAAGTAAATAATTAAATAATTTTTCTTGTAAATATTCTAGTGATTGATCCAGTAGCAGTAGTTTTAATTTGTTTGGAAGGAACTGTTAAAATTAGCCAATAGATATTAACTGCAACTCGATATAATGAATATCAATATCCTCTATATTAAATAGTATTTAAAATAAATGTGTATATTAATATTCTTTTTTCATAATAATAAATTAAGATGATCAAAATTTCCCAAAAAGGGTCAAACCGCTTATTTATAATAAATTAAAATATTGATATTAAAAACGAATGTTGGTTATCACGTAATAATAACGAATTTTATGAATGAGGAGTCCCATTCATCATTGATGGTAATAATGATGTAAATTATCTAGGAATTGAACTTTGCTTTCGAATTCATTACTTGACAGGTTTTGTTCTGGGCTTGCAGCCGTGATCACT